ATGTTGTTAGGTCGCAGCCCTAACCAATCATAGTTTTTGAGTTTTTATTATTTTCCTAAACTTTGGATTGAATCCCCAATGGAATAGGTTTCACCACATATTTCCCATTGCTGTACTTCTTCCAAGAAATCCAAAAGCATAAAATTTCAAAAACTAGAGATAATTCAACAAGCAATGGCAGTTATATACATCAGTGACTTAACTGGGATCTATCTAGGAATGAGCCTTTCCAGTGACAGGGGATGAAGGATGCCTATCATTCTAAGTTAAGCAGAGACTGATCAACAATGCTTCTGTGGGAAGATTTTTGATCAAAGCGGGGAGAAAAGAGAGAAGAAAAATAGCTCGGTGTAGTATAAGCTATCTGAGGTATGCAGAATTTATTAGGCCCAGAGAGATGTAAGTATGTGACTTTAGTCATGCTCCCCCCCACCCCCCCACTGCACTCATGCCTAGTGCAATTGTTTAGTCATTTTGTTTCTGACTAGCTACCTAACTCGTTATCTTCATGTTCTTGAACTTTGTGAGACAGATAACAATGGAGAGCTAATCAATAGCTTATGTTGTTTAAATGTAATTCTTGCTAAATGGCTTAGAAACGTTCTCTTCTTTTCCTTTAAACATCTACCTGTAACTGCTGCTAATCAGAGTATATATTCAGAACAGCCTGAATCTATGGTCCAGCATTGTAATCCCCAGGCTCTTCTTACATTAATTATGCCTCAGCTTGTTTTTAAGTCGTCCAGCAAAATATCTTGCATGTAGAAGATGGAACGTGTATGTTTCTTGGGTTAGAAACAGCCCTTCAAAGAAGCTGACACTAATAATCAGCACAGCCCTTATACTAGTTACCATTTTAATCCTAGGCTTGACTTATGAATGAGCCCAAAAAGGATTATGCTGAGTTGAGTTGGTAAATAGTTTAAGTCAAAATAAATAATTTCAATTCATTATGATAGACCATATTTACTAAATGCCCTCTATTGATATCAATATTATACTAGCATACACCATGTCACTACTGGGAGTATTAGTCTATCGATCCCACCTACTATCCCTATTATGCGTAGAAGGCAAAATAGTATTAATATTTATCATAAATACTCATAACTTGAAACAAACATGTCACTCTAGCATCCATAATACCCATCATTCTCCTAGTATTTGCTGCTTGTGAAACCGCCTTACTCGTTTCAATCTCCAACACATACGGCCTAGTTTATGTACAAAATCTAAATTTACTTCAATGCCAAAAATTATTATTCCAACAATTACGCTGTACTAATGACATGATTCTCTAAAAATTATATAATCTGAATCAATGACTACCCACAGCCTACTCATCAGCCTTATTATCCTATTATTTTTTAACCGATTCAACAATAGCTCATCCAACTTCTCATCAATCTTCTCTTCTGACCTGCTGACATCATCCTTTCTAATCTTAACAGCCTGACTACTACCTCTTATAATTCTAGCAAGCCAATGTCAAATGTCCAATGAATCAACCCCAAGAAAAAAGCTCTATGGCTCTATATTGATTTCCCTGCAGATTTTTCAAATTATGGCATTGACAGCCACAGAACTAATTATATTTTATATCCTCTTGGAATCGAAATGAATTCCTGCCCTAATTATCACCACCTGCTGAGATAACCAACTGGAACGCCTCAATGCAAGCTCATATTTCTTATTTTATACACTAGTAGGGTCCCTTCCTCTACTTGTTATACATGTTTATACTCAGAATACCTCAGGTTCACTAAATATGCTAGTAATGACACTTACCACCCAAAAGCTATTAGCCTCTTGATCCAATAATCTTATATGACTAGCATGTATATGGCTTTTATAGTAAAAATACCTCTATATAGACTTCACCTGTGACTTCTACGTAGAAGCCCCTGTTGCTGGCTCCGTAGTACTTGCAGAGATACTCCTAAAGCTAAGCAGCTATGGTTCAGGGCTTATCCTTATCCTCAACCTCCTAACAGAACAGGGATAGCTATGACAAGCTCTAATTGTCTACAACAAACTGATCTAAAATCGCTTATTGCCTATTCCTCCATAAGCTACATAGCACTTGTCGTCATGGCTGTTCTCATTCAAACCCCTTGAAGCCTTGTAGGTGCAGGCACCCTTATAATTGCTCATGGACTCACTTCATCCTTATTTTTCTGCCTAGCAAATTTGAACTATAAGCCAAGTCCATAGCCGAATCATATTACTTACCTGAGGCCTTCAAACACCGCTTTCACTAATAGCTTCTTAATGACTTCTAGCAAATCTCACTTTGTCTTACCCCCTACTATTAATCTAGTAGGAGAAATCTTTGTGACTATGGCTTCATTATCCTGATCAAACATCACTGTTTTGCTTATAGGACCTAATATACTAATTATAGTCCTTTACTCCCTATATATGTGAATCACTAGACAAGGAGGGACATTTGCATATTACATTAACATTTTTGTTGCTAACCCCTGCCTTGCGTCTGCTTTCACTGTGTGATGTGACTGCTCACCTTTTGCCTTCTGTCATGATTGGAAGCTTCCTGAGGCTTCCCCAGGAACAGATGCCACTCTGCTTTCTGTACAGCTTGCAGAACTATAAGCCAATTAAACCACTTTTCTTAGAAATTGCTCAGTCTTGGGTATTTCTTTATAGCAATGCAAGCACAGCCTAATATAATAACTTTAGATTCAGTTTCGAGGTCTGCATCCAGGTCTCTGAAACTTCGCAAGGACAGCTTCCATAACCCAATTCACTTGAATACAGTTCCATTCAACAGGTATTGAACACTTACCATAAACAACATCTTATTATTAGACTTTTTCTTCCATTCAACCTTATTTCTCCAAGACTTCTGGGGTCTCCTGCCCTTGTTCTTATTACTGGGGCTGTTGCCACATGACGCTGTAAGCCTGCAGCATCATGTGCCTGGCGTGTTTGTGTCACTGCTCCTTGTTACCGCTCCTGGCATAGGCTTGGAACAAACCCTCAAATCCTCTTGGAATCTTAGGTAGATGCATGACCAGTGGTAGATACATTTTTGGAACTCCTTTCTGTCTATAGTTACTAATTCTTCTTGTATTTTCCTACCTTCATTTCAGGTAAACACTTATTTTGCTTTCATACCGAAGTAAATTTAGTTTTCATTTGTATTTCGTGTTATTCTCTAGATATGTGTAGAAGCAGCCTGGAGCTTTGATGTGCTTAGCTGTGCCAGCCTTACCTTTATTAGAATACTAAATTCTTGATGAAGGATGTTATCTAGACTTAACCAAGGAAGTTCCTAGACAAAACTCATTACGACTACTGTAGTCTCAGAGTGTTCTAAGTATTAAATGGTTTCAGTTGCTCTATTAAAGGAACAATGGAGTTTTCAATTATATGTTATATTCTGAAACTGTCTCTTAATAGGTACAAAAAAAACAACCCAAGTAACTTCAGACCTTAAATGTATTTTCCATTGTGTATTAATAAATTACTGCTTTATAAAATTGGTGTTGGAGAGCTATTTTTTCTTTCTCAAAATTGAAAAGTTAACCACACACACAAAAAACAAAAAAAAAGTTAACCACAAGACAGGCTTTAGTGTTTCTCTCAAAGGTTACACTTTTGGAGGTTAGTTTTACAAGAATAAAAACAAAACCCACAGTTGAGAAATTGAGTTGAGAGTTAATATTCTTTACAGGAAATTCCTGTAAAGGAACCCAGCTTACTCACTCTCTCAACTAAACCCAACCACAAACTTTATCTCATCAAGGAGGCTGGTGAGAGAAGAGTTTAGGTGCTTCTTCCTCAGAGCATTTCCTACTGATAGAGGTAGTTTATTTGACTTTCCTCTGTCTGACCATGCATTTCACAATGTCAATGGCCATTTAAAAAATAAGGTTTTCCTTTTTCATCCAGTTATAACTCATTCTTTTTAAACTGGTGTGAGTTACATGGCTGCTGTGTCTTCTCTAGGTATCTCTCTGGATAGGAAGAAATATAGTCGAACCCTTTGAAAATGGATATTCTCACATGTTTTTCTTCAGATACAAAGCTGGCAGTCACTGAAATAAGGACTTGAAGTTCCTTCCTCTTTTTTTATGACTTAAGACCAGGAAATAAAGGTAAGAGAGTAGTACATTTTTTGTTTTTGTTTTTGTTTTTCCACTAGATTTCCTAACTAGAAAATATAAGTTGGGAAAAGAGCTTAAATAATTTTTAAAATGAGTTGCTAACACAATTACTTTTCAAGAAACATTTCAGAATAACAAATGGGTTATTTACTAACAAAATTTACCTCTCCATATATATGGAGTCTTCACTTAAAAAAACTGGTGGCCATAAAATAAACCTGTCTAATGTGCTTCAAGCATTTTACAGGAAGGGCTAAGAGCAGAGAGATTCAAGATGTTTGTCAAGTTTGAATGGCCATTTGAACTTAACTGTAACATCTTTGATGGCAGGCACTAAGCTCCATTTTCTGTTATCCCTAGGCTATAGGGTAAAAAGCTACTTTGGAGCATGTGAGAATCGTAATGATATTAGTTGAATTAAATATTGTTACTATTACATGAGACCAAATCTCTGTCTACAGATGTTCTCTGTGTAAAGTGGATTACATCTGCCTTTGATGGTGACCTTTGTCTCCCTGGGCCTCTGATCCCTGTATCCCTGTTGGCACTGCTTTCTCCAGTGCTTTCCTCTCTCTTCCTTGTTTCCCACCACAGACTTTTGTGTGAAAAGTTTAGTTCGTTGTTTCTCCCAGAGACAGTTGAAGATGTAGCCCTGACCACCTGAAAAAGAAATCTTCATCCTCTGAGGAAAGATATGTGATTCACATCTGGAAAATAACTGAAGAAGAGATTCTGTAGATTCTCTCAGTGCTGCTGGGCTCTCAATTCCTTTTGTGAAGGACGGTGTATGGTGATGAGGAAATCAGAAGCTTTGAGACCCTCTACACCTGGATATGAAACCCCCTTCTAATACTCACCAGGTATGTGATTATCATTGAGAATGGGCACCGCTATTCCAAGCAATATGAGTCTTGGTTGTCCATTTGCAATACTAGAAGGACAGCACCCCTCTTCCCTTTACAGAAAGTAAATGAGAGCCACATTATTTTATTCCCATAAGCAGAGTCTGAAGCTTGCTTTAGCTTAAGTTGCCCAGTGCTCAATAAATGATGTACTCTGCATTTGTATAGATTCTTCCAATTCAGTGAAGCATTTTAGCGATGGCAGCATGGAAAACATCACTTAAACATTAGATGGCCTTTAAAAGGTAGATATTAACAAACAAGCTACACAGTGTGGGTGTGTTGTCCCACATAAACGGGACTTCCAGAATGGGCTTTGGCTCCTGTTGATCAGTTGCCCACAATGCTGGCAACAGCTACTGTAACTCAGCACTGACCCAACTCCCCAAGCTCTATGCTTATCACGGAGCAGGGCTTTCCAAAGATATCTCCTGGTTGAGAGTGGTGGCCCTGATACTTGTTTATAATGTAGGTTCCATTGTTCTTCTCTTTGAGAATCTGATTTAATAAGACCTCGGGGAGCCTAAAAATCTGCATTTGGAATAAGTGTTTCAGGTGATTCTCATAATCAAGATAATTTGAGAAACACTATCCCAGAGTGAAAGCTGCAGCCTCAGGCATCCGGAGGTCTGAGGCCAGTCGGTGGGTGGGTGCATCAGTAGGTAGTAGCTGTCATCTCAAGGTTGGTGGAAATTCTGAGGGCTGGAGACTGCTGGGTGTCATGGTAACTAATTTGCTATAGGCTTGGACATGTAGACGTAAATTGCAGGACTGTAGAGCTGGGATGATCTTAGCAATCATCTAGTGTTATGATTTAGAAGTCAGACAGCTTTTTTAAAAATTAAAAATATCCTGACTTAAACCTCAGAAATTCTGATTCCGTCATTCTAAGGTTGAGGAACTGTTGATATGGTCCAGACATTTTATTTTGCAGATAAGAAAACTGAAGTCCGGAAAGAGCCTAAGTGACTTGACTGGAGTCACACAGTAAGTGAACTGCCGTAATAGATTGCTCTATGTGTTTGTTCTGACTGCTCTGGAAGTGTGTATCATTTTTCGGAACACAGAATTTATTACTAATTATTCCTTTGGTCACGAGATATTATTGCTGGAACAGGGTCTCTGCTCTTCAGGAGCTCCCAATCTAGTGACAGGACAAGGTGTAAGGAACAACTGTTCTACCGCAGCATGGCTAAATCCTGAACAAGTTGTTACTGAACTCTTGTTATTAGCTAGGCACTATTCCTGGAGAGATGCTGCAGGGCTCGGAAAGACCAACTCAGTTCCTGCTGGCATGGAACTTACGTTCTAGCTGGGGAGAAGTTTCAGGAATAAGATAGTTTCAGACAATATTGTGTGCTAAGACAAAAGTCATTTAAAATGAGTAAGAAGAGAAATGGCTGCTGGCAAGGAGGGAGGGAGGGGCTTCTTTATCCAGGCGACCAGGGAACGTCTCTCCGAGGAAGGAATCAGAGATAAGACACGAGAGAGCCAAACGCTACAGGGTTTGTCCATGGTGCTCCGGAATCTGTGCTTCATCACATGAGTGGCAGGAGCCGGCGACGGTTTGGGCATGGAAAGGAAACGCTGAGGCTTGCTTCTTAGGAAGATGTGGCTGGTGGTGGAGCTGGAGGACTGTTCTTTCAGAGACTTTGTGGACAAGGGAAAGGCAAGTGGGAAGATCACATCTTCAAAGCCATTGCTGATCCTGCCTTGTTCCTTGACTGCAGTCCTTGTAAGAAGAGCTGTCAGTTACCAGCAGTGGGGATAACTCAGTGACCTTAACCCCTATCCCTGGCGTTCTGCAAGGTGCATTGCACAGAGTCCCTTTTCTTTCTCCCATCAACATGCCTCACCCTCAGCAGACAGCCAGGTCAGCATCAGCCTCCAGGTGGTAGCATCCTGTACTTTCTGGCTTCACCTAGACAAAGTGGTCTGGGCAGACCTTCCTTGTCTCCCTGCATGGCTCTGCCTGCCTCCTATCTAAGATTAATCTCTCCATGGTATCAGGGACCCCATCTCTTCTGGCTTCCTGGGAGAAAGGAGTCCATGCACCCTGTCCTCACCCTCACATGTATTTGACCTCACTGGCCTGCTGATGCATTCCCCTCACAGTGGAATCCTGCCCAAGGCTCTCTCATCCTCAGAAATGAGCAAACACTTCCTTCTGTCTTCCCTGCATCATGCAGCCTCTTTCCCTCTACTACACATTCCCTCCACTCCTCTCTCTCCACACTGAAGCACTCCCTCATCTCACCCCAGCTGCACATGCTGAGCTTTTGGTGGCCAAACCAAGACACTTTAGTGGACACTTTTCAGTCCTTCTCATGTCCGACTCCTCTGCAGCTTCTGACACTGGTGTCTAGTATCTCCTCCAAGCTTTCTCTGTCTGGATTGCCAAGGTGGTCTCTCAGCTCTGCTCCTTGTCTTCCTTTCAGGTGTGTCATTCTTTATATTCCATTGGCCCTGGCCTACTTTGAAAGGCTGAGGTTTCTCAAGGAAGTTCATCTGCCCTCCCTTGTGGGGCAACAGACACTCCAGGCTTGTTACAGATGCCCCAGGCACCCTCCAGCTGCTGAAATCCAGACCCTGCTCTGAGCCATCCCCTTCCCCACCCTGCTGCCCTGGGATTGCTCCAGTTGGATCTCCAAGATATTTCTTTTTATGTTTTTATTTTTTTGTGTGTGTCCTTCAGAGCTTCTACAAAGGATCTCCAGGATATTTCAAGTTCAGAGTTCTTGTTCGAGAAACATTAATTATTAACAATTAATTTATAATTATTGAAATTACTATCGCCTCCTGTATCTAAGAATTGGAGTGTGTGTGTGTGTGTGTGTGTGTGTGTGTGTGTTGCAATATGGTTGGAAGTAAAGAATGTTATAAAGTGAGATAAGCCAAATGTTTATGAGAAAAGATGGCACTATCTGGAAAGAAAGGTCCTGGGAGGCTGGGCGCAGTGGCTCATGCCTATAATCCCAGCACTTTGGGAGGCCGAGGCGGGTGGATCACGACGTCAAGGGATCGAGACCATCCTGGTCAACAACGTGATACCCCGTCTCTACTAAAAAATACAAAAAAAATTAGCTTGTCATGGTGGTGCGTGCATGTAATCCCAGCTACTCAGGAGGCTGAGGCAGGAGAATTGAGAATTGCTTGAACCCAGGAGGCGGAGGTTGCGGTGAGCTGAGATCGTACCATTGCACTCCAGTCTGGGCAACAACAGTGAAACTCCGTCTCAAAAAAAAAAAAAGAAAGGTCCTGGGAAAGCTGGGGTTGGTGGAGATGTGGCTGTCGAACTGGCCAGAGAGCACAGGAAGAAGTGAAGAGAGAAACTTTCAAGGCTAAATAGATGTCGGGAAGAGAGACAGAGAGAGAGAGAGAGAGACAGAGAGACAGAGAGAGAGAGAGAGACAGAGAGACTGATTTTGTCAGCTGCCAAAACAAACAAACCAACCAACCCAGGGAAGTTGTGGAGAGACTTAAAGATTTTTAGAGAGGCCACATAACATTTAGGGTAGCTTGCTTTCTTTGCTTTTTTCCTTTCCTCTTCCTCTCCTTTCTTCCCTTTTCCTCTTCTTTCTTCCGTCTCTCCTTCCCTTCCTCCATTCTTTCTTTACTTTCCTCTTGTTTTTTTTCCTTTTCTGTCATCACTGGACTTCATTTCTTTCTTACACTTTGTTGTGATTGTTTATTTTCACGTTTATGTTGACAAAGACTCTCTCCTTGGCCAAGATTTAGTCAGGGTCCCTTGAGCCTTCTTCTTGGCTCAGCCTCAGTTTTGTCATCCTCTCCTATCTTTGCCTGCCCAAATAGTCTTGGGAAAAAATCCTGCTAATTTATCAGTGCACTCTTGATATCTGATGGCCCTAAATGTCTGATAAAGCTCCCCATTCACCACCCTTGATATTTAAGTCCTTAACCTGCCTTTAGCAAGAATCCTGTTAGGTCAGTTTAGCAAGGATCCCTGTGTCCTTATGTCACTCAGGAATTTTCTATCCACTGACCTTTACCTTGCACTTTGTCCTTGGTGTATGGGAATTGAGTTTGATCTCTTTCCCTCAAAGTTTTTTTTTTTGTTTGTTTTGTTTTTTTGTTTTTGAGATGGGGTCTTGCTCTGTCACCCAGGTCAGGGTGCTGTGGTGTGATCTTGGCTCATTGCAACCTCCGCCTCCTGGGTTCAAACAATTCTCCTGCTTCAGCCTCCTGAGTAGCTAGAACTACAGGCATGCACCACCATGCCTGGATAATATTTTGTATTTTTAGTAGAGATGGGGTTTTACCACGTTGGCCAGGCTGGTCTCGATCTACTGACTTCAAGCAATCTGTCCGTATCAGCCTCCCAAAGTGCTGAGATTACAGGCGCGATCCACCATGCCCGGTCCCCAAAAGTCTTGAATAAAGCTTTCCCTATGGTTTTAACCAGTGTCAGAATAATTGTATTTTTAATGATGTTCTCCACACTGTAATAGACCCTTGAAAATAGGGACTATACTATTTATTTTTCCCCTCAGCACCCTTAAAGAACCTATGACAGTTTGGGAGTGTTTTAGGGGGAATCTTTAGCCAAAGTTCAGGGGGAACTTACCTTATTCCTATAACTTGAAGAGTTATACACAGGTTATTTTTATGTTAATGATAATACTTCAGAACTCAAAGATACACAGATAAAACTGTTCTATAGCAAAATCCTTTTTCTTCCTACTCAAAACACATTTAAATGATAATTAAATATTTCCCACCCAGGATTCTTATCTTTCATTTCTCCTAACTGGTTTGAAAAGTCCCGTAACTAACCTATCAACAAACGGGACACAAGTCCTTTGGACACAGCCTAGATACGATTCTCTGGAGGGGACCAGCAACGCCTTTCATATTTGAAAGGATTGATAATGATGCCATCCAGTGACAATTTTCCCTCTTGTATTTGGGGCAGAAAGGCAGGTGACCCCTATTCTCTAATAGTATCAGACTAGTGATGTGCAAACCTTCTCAAATTTTATCAATAGGAAATATATCTCTAGCTTCCCTAACTGTGAAGAACCTGACATTTGTATTCAACTTGGGTTATTTTTTCAGGAAAAGTTAAACTTAACTCTTTCCAAATTACTCATGGAAATATACGTGCTAGGTGAGAATATCAAAGAAAAAAGATTAATGAGGGGAAAATGGCATTAAAAGAACACTCTGTATAGAGCCTAGGCCCAAGGGATATCATGAGCTTGAGGTGATTTGTAAGAAATGACAGCAGTGAAAAGATTGCTACACACCATTGGAAATACCCATGTAAGCTATGGGCACATGAAAGCCGGTTTGGGTAGGACCTGCCCTTTCGAAGTTTCCTGTCTGAGTTGCACTTTGGTCACAGGCTCTGATTTCTTCATTTCCCATTTCTTCATTTACAGAAATGAAAAGGATACTCAAGAAAGAGTTCTGCATCTCAAAACTCTATTCTGGCAACAGAATGAAGTTACTGGAGTGATGACAGGAACACAGGAGAACAATGCTCTATTTGGGCTGGATATTTCTTTCGCTTATTGCAGGAGAAAGAATTAAACAATTTAATATTTCAGGTAGGATTTTTCACTTTTTGTGTTAGCACTGTGAGTCTGTGGTCAAAGGTAAAGTGAGGGATAACCTGATATATCAGCATCATGCCATGATAATACACAACTTTTCCATCCTACCGTTAAAAAGAGAGTGAGAGGAGAATTATTGGGGTGAACAGCTTTCAACTGATACCAAGCATTGACAAGGTACCCATTACTGTAGTTGAGTGTTCAGTGAGAGCAGTTGAAGAGGGATGAGCCAGGGTTCTACCATCTTTTCTAGGAAACTGGAGCTGCTGCTGGTGATGCTGGAGTCTACTGGGAGGGAATTAAAACATGAACTTCCTTTCCCCTACAAAATGGGCAGTGAAGAAGAAAGGCACACGAGGAAGCTTGGTCTCTTGTTAAATCAAGTACTATATGTAAATAGAAGCTAGAGTTCTGTTTTCTAATATGTTTCCATGTTGTTCTATTTATTGTGATTTTCAGATTGTTCCACAAAAAAGTTCCTTTGGACATATTCTACAAGGAGTGAAGAAGAATTTGTCTTATTTTGTGATTTACCAAAGCAACAGAAATCATATTTCTGCCACAGAAGTCGACTCTCACCAACACAAGGCCCTGAGCACCTACCCTTCACTGGCAGTAAGGACCTATCTGATATCCAATGGTACCGACAACCTTCGAATGGTGATCCATTAGAGGACATTAGAAAAAGCAATCCTCACATCATTCAGGAAAAATACACCCTTCGTTTTAGGACCCCAGGGGTGAATAATGCTGGATCATATATTTGTAGACCCAAGATGATTAAGTATGTTCCAAATGCATTTCTACCTGAAAACATTCCCAAATTCTCTATTATCTAGACAAAATCTATACTCACAGGATCTTGTTAATTTCCTAGGAGTCCCTATCATGTAGCCTGTTGTGTCAAGATGATTTTAGAAGTTAAGCCTCAGACAAACGCATCCTGTGAGAATTCTGCATCACATAAGCAAGACCTACTTCTTGGGAGTATTGGTTCCATTTCTTGCCCCAGTCTCAGCTGCCAACGTGATGCACAAAGTCGAGAGGTAATCTGGTACCAGGTAAGAGTGAATTCTCTAAAATTAATATAAGAGCATTTTTTGAGATGGGGTCTTGCTCTGTCGCCCAGGCCGGAGTGCAGTGGCATGATCTTGATTCACTGCAACCTCCACCTCCTGGGTTCAAACAATTCTCCTGCCTCAGCCTCCTGAGTAGCTAGAACTACAGGCCTGCACCACCACACCTGGCTAATTTTTTATATTTTTAGTAGAGATGGGGTTTCACCATGTTGGCTAGGCTGGTCTCGATCTACTGATCTCAAGCAATCCATCTGTCTCAAGGGAAGGATTTATTCATTGTTTTTATGGTATCATCTTCATGGCTTATTCGCAGAAAAGCGTGTTTGAGAATCTGAGGTCTAGAGCTTCTCAAAAACTGGCCCTGTGCCTATTCAGGAGATCTGACTTTCTAAAATGATCATGTCCCCTGGGAAGCCACAGAGCTTGATATTCTAATTATTAGAAACATCCTTTTGATCAATAGCAGAAAATACAAAATTCCGGTATATTACACATGAGGTTAGACATAAACCTACTAACATCTGCTAATGTAGGACAAAAAGTTCATTCATTTTCACTGTCTTGGGAAAGCAACAGGCATTGCAAAGGGGAAGGAAGCACCCAAGACATAAGTCTTGAGGGGTTTGTGAAAGATATTGAAGACTGGAATACATTCCAAAAAGGATCTTGAAGGACAGTTAGGACAAATCCAAGGTGGCCCTGAGTGACAGATGTCTTGCACAGGTGAGATGGTGGGAAAGGAGTACAGTGTTAAGAGAAAAAGGGAACAAAGACAAGTTTCACAATGACTTTGAGCTATGAACCACATGTATGTGAACTCCGATTAAAAAAGCACTTCATATTTCCATCTTGTTCTATAGTTTTTCCAAGTGCTAGCCGATGACTAAATGCTGCCTAACCATCTCCTCCAACAGAGCCCCTTGTCAGTTGTCTCTTGGGTGGCGGAATCCGGGAATAGAATGTAAATCACTTCCGACGATTGCAAAACTATTTGAAGCCCAATACTTTCTCTTCAAAATTATGCACAATTTTGCATTCACTCTCTTAATATATATGTTTGTTAATATAAAAATATTACTTTAAATTGGTACTGATTAAAGTCAGAAAGATGAGTTATGTTTATCTAATGGTTTAAGGCACCCCAAATTTTAAGAATGCGAGTCTCCTGGGGCTACAGTTACCATGGTATGAGGAGACGTTTCCCTACTTAATTCCTGAGACTCCATGCTAATAGAAGGACGGATGTTATCACATCCTTTACAGAAATAAATATACAGAGAGGATGAGTGGCATGTGTTATGGTCTCACATTCGAGTTTTATATGACACTGAAAGAATGCTGGTCTCAACAAAATCCTAATTTCAGAAACATTCATTTCATTACCTCTAAAATGATGTTAGTAAGAAGAGCCAGTAGTTTTGGTCATTATTTTCAGTTCTCTCTCCAGAACAAAACTTCCTTTTGGTTCAGTATATCTGTCATCCAGGATGGCAGCTGTTTTGTTGTCTTGGTGGGCTGTTCTCAGGCCAGTAAAGCAGTCTTGTCCCAGTTATTTCAGTTGAAATGTGTTTGACTTTTCAATGATCGTACACCTGAAGTGAAAGCTATGAATCTTTTACTCTTCAGGTGAGCACAAGCCACATAATATTTGCCAGCTCTCTGAAAATATTGCTTTTATAAACTAAACCCTAAAACTGTTTGACCTTCACAAAAGGAAGCTTTGTTTCACTTCCCTGGGGCTTTGACTACAAACGTCAGCATGTGTTTAATGGTGAACAGGCAGCCACCCTAAGAATAGGTGTACAATGGCTGTTATTAAAATTGTACCTCTGATACAGATTTGGATAGGTCCTGGCTTTGTGAATTACACAAATGTGTGTGTCCACTTACACATACACATACATACACAGGCACATAGTAACCTGGAAATCACAGACCTTATAACAGTAGTACATTACTAAAAGTGATGGCATTAGGCAAGAAAAAAATATCCAATGCCTTTTTCCTTCTTGCTAAACCCTAGGTTATCAGGTGGTGCGTGGGTCATACCTACAACCCATCTCTGAACAGATGAAGCTGACACTGGCTGAGAAAATGAAAACATGGCTTTATGGAATTCAAATAAAACTGCTGAGCAGGGATACACCCATCAGATGTAGAGTATCCAACTGAAATAAATCCCTGGGCTTGGAGTCTGTGGAACATTCCACAATATTTTTAATTGGCAAATCAAAAAACAGCCTTGCAGATTGCTTTTAAAACTTTTTTCAACTTCTTTATTTTAAAATTATTTTTAATTAACAAATCATAATTATGTACATTTACAGGTATGATGTGATGTTTTGATATATGTATACAATGTGGAGTGAATAACTAAGCTAATTAACACATCCCTCACCTTGCTTATTTATTTTTTGTGGCCAGGCTTTTGAAACTTGCATTCTTAGTTATTTTGAAATGTGCAATACAATATTATTGGCTATAATCATCCTGCTATGAAATATGTCTGAAAGTTTATTCCTCCTATCTGAAACTTTGTATTCTTTGACCAACATCTCCCCATTCACCCTCTTCTCCACACCAACCAAGCCTCTGGTAATCATTATTCTACTCTCTATTTCTGTGAGTTCAACTTTTTAAGTTCCTACATATGAGTGAGATCGTGCAGGATTTGTCTTTCTGTGCTTGGCTTATTTCATTTAGCACAGTCTTCCAAGTTCGTTCATGTTGTCCCAAATGATGGAATTTTCTTTCATAAAGACAGAATAGTATTTCATTGTGTACATGTATCACATTTTCTTTGTCTATTCATCTGTTGATGGACACTGAGATTGATTCCATATCTTGGCTATTGTGAATAGTGCTGCAGTAATCCTAGGAGCGTAGATATCCCTTTGCCGTATTGATTTCAATCTCTTTGGATATGTACCCAAAACTGGGATTGCTGAATCATATGGAAGTTCTATTTTTAGTTTCTTTGATGAGCCTTCATAGAGTTTCCCATAATGGCTGTAGTAATTTACATTTCCACCAACAATGTAAAACATTAATTTTTTGATAAAAGCACGTGCGAGGTGATATATCATTGTGGTTTGAATTTGTATTTCTCTGATGATTAGTGATACCCAGCATTTTTTATATAGCTGTTGGCCATTTGCATGCTTTCTTTTGAGAAATATTTTTTCAGATCTTTTGCCTATTTTTAAAATGGGCTACTTGTTTTCTTGCTGTTGCAGTGTTTGAGCTCCTTATATTTCTTGATGTTAACTCCTTATCAGATGTATGGCTTGTAAATATTTTCCCCATTTGGTGGATTGTCTCTTCACTCCATTAATTGTTTCCTTTGCTACACAGAAGATTTTCAGTTTTACACTATATCATTTGTCTATTTTTGTTTTTGTTGCCTGTGCTTTCAGAGTCATATCCAAAAAAAATATTTGCCTATTACAATACTGTAGGGCTTACCCACTATGTTTTCTTTTAGGAGTTTTACAATTTTAGATCTTGTGTTTAATTCCTTAATGCATTTTGAGTTGATTGATTGCATGTGGCTTGAGATACAATTTCATTCTTTTCCCTGTAGATAACCAGTTTTCCTAACATCATTTATTGGAGAGATTATCCTTTCTCCATTGCATGCTTATTCTTGGCATCTTTATTTTAAAATTTATTAACCATAAATGTGTGGGTTTCTTTCTGAGCTTTCTATCCTATTCCATTTGTTGATGTGTCTGTTTTTATGCCAGTGCCATGCTGTTTTGGTTTAAGTGGCTTGTAATATATTTTGAAATCAGGGAATGTGGAACATCTAGTAGCTTTTTTTTTTCTTTTCTTTTTTTTTTTTTTTTGGGTATTTTTGTGATTTCATGTGAATTTAAGGACAGTTTT